GCATCACAGTATGGTAGGGGGCGTAACATTTCCGTCACACGCTTGAGGTATTCGGCCAATCACAACGCACTGGATAGCTGGCCAATCAGCGTACACGTCGCTTTTCAGAACGATGAGCTTTGTAAAAATCGACGCGTTTTAGAAAGGCGGGGCATAGAGGTATATAATGTGTTTTTGAACCTTAAACTGCATAAACACTTTGCATTACACCAAATACACAACATAATGTTCTTTTTAGCAACATCATATGACCCCTTTAACTCAATATTTTTATGTAATAGAGATGTACATTGATTTACTCAAATGTATTTATTTAGCTGTTTTTTGTGAGCAGAATTTTAAATTCTTATCTTTGCAGGGAAGTTTAGACAACATCAGCATTACCATTATTTGCTTTGACGGCGCCCCCAAGGTGACACCAGAGGCACTGCAACAGGAGGCAGAGTTAGAGCGCGTCATTGAGCAAAAAGTGGCAGGTAATTTCACCAATTCATTTGATATAAAAGGTTTTAACCTATATAATAAAGATGCAATAAAAAAACTAGATTAGATGAAATATCTCTCTAAGTGTCAGATTTTGTATATAAAAGTGTTTTTTTTTTCATGTTACTCAGAGATCATTAACGTGATCAGATCTAAAGATGAGGAACCTGACCTGCTCTATGTGATGAAATTCCTGGCGTCTGAAAATATTCCCGGTCTCCCACCAAATGGAGGAATCTCATGCAAGTAAGTGATACTGGACACCAATACAGTGCCCTGCACTAATTTTGAATTTTTTGAATAAAAGTTAAAAAAGAAACAATGCAGATTTATTTTCACAGCTGCCTTTGCTCATATTTACAAAGGGGGCCAATGTTAGCGGAGGGCACTGTATATAAGTGACAATTCAACATTCAAACATGTTTTCTCAATCTCGGTTTTGTTTGTCTGCAGGAAAGATTGCATAATTGGTGCATATCAAAAATATGCAGCAGCCGTTAGATCTCATGAGCCGATGGTATGTATGCATGCATACAT